AAAAAAAAAAACAAACACATAATTAATTAAATGCAATTACCATAAATTCACTGGAATTAGAGAACATTATAGATAGTTTACCCACATGAACTAATGAATACCCTGCAGTTAATTGTATCGACCTAACAGAAACGTGTTCTTTAACATCAAATATGTCATATGAATTTGGATAAGTTGATCGAACTAACAAATATCTATCATTTATAGGTGTTAAAGGTAAGAGATTTGATATTGCATCGATAGCTATTTTTTGTACCACTTCAAACTTGGACAACATGGACTTTAAAAGGTCGTACTGAAATATACTTTGATTAACATTATAATAAATATACTTTCTAGTACAGTCAAATGAGAATGTATCGCATTCAAGCCAAAATACATTTAAGTACGAATTATTTTGCTTTGTGATAAATGGAGTTGCAGAACCTGTGTTTTCTACTCCAATACAATTACTGGTCACTTTGAACTGAGTAACAGGCCCTAACAAGGGTATCATTAATCTATTGTTTTGTGTACATCCTTTCATGTGATAAACAATTGCCAAATGTTCTGTTTTCAAGTCTTTTTTTTTCTGAAAATTAAAACATGRTAAATGTAAATAAGTTTTTTTATAAATCAAATAGGATATGACAAATAAATAGTTAATATTTATAGTCATAATATAGCACTAAAAATGTCTAATTTAAATAYTAAAATGTTTACATGAACATTTATTTTAACATTTTAATGGTTGTTTAATAATTATAATAAAAAAGTATAAGATAAAAAACAAAGAATATGTTTTATACTTTTACTTTGAACACTGAAAACTCTTTCTATTTAGGTTTATTTATTAAGTGATTTATTATACTATAGAGTTACAATTTTAAATGATACTGTATTTATTTTACTATAATATATATGTAAAAGTTAGTTAGTTGTAAAGTTTAATAATATTATGCAATTTTTCTAAGTATAATTTTTTATTTGTAGAAATTAGGTATGAATTTCATTTGTAATATGTTTTGTACACAATTAGATAAAATAATTTTGTGTAATGAGTTGGATGGAAAAAATATTATTAGATTTTGAGTTCAAAAATCACTTGTAAACAAACAGTACAATTTATATTCTAATCCARCATTCATTTGAAAAAGTTTCATATTTTATTATTAATAAATAATATAATTAATATATTTACCGTTTTTGTGATTCCAATCATGAGTCTATAGTCAGAGCATTTCATGCTATCAACAATGCATCCTCTTGAACTAAATTCCAGTTCTTTATATGTTTTTCCTGTACTCAAATCAGTAACAAATAATGTACTAATAGCTGGGTGCACCATTGCTAATTTATGATCATATAAATCAAATTTTGTGTCACAATGACTATTTAAGAATTCTTCGTTGAAATCATCCTTATTTAAGCCATAATCAACAGATTTCTGTATCACTTTAAAAAATTTTTTAGTGAATTCAGTTTTTGAAATTGAATACACAAATATAATTGAACAAATTTCAAATACCAAGTACCTTTTGTTACCAATTACTTTGAGTGGATATTTTCTTAATTTAATCAATTCTTCAAATTTATTAAATATAGGCAAAAACTTTTTTTTTAAAGGTTTATTTGCTCCATTTAAAATAACTATTTGAATTGGTTGTTTATGTTGACAATTTATATTGACTATGTAATCATCAGTACAATATGATTGTTCTACATGCTGACGAGGTATATAAATGGTCGGAAAATCATTGTTTTTTATATTCTTTACAATCATTATATAACGGTTAAAAGTTTGCCAATAGTCACATATAGGTCCGAATAATTTTTCCGAAGCTACATCAGCATATCCTATACATTCWGAATCATGTCTTGACCTATCATTCAGACACCGGCTATAATCAATGACTCGTATATTTAAATCTTCACAAATCCTTGCCCATATCTCATTTTGGTTTACATATACACACCGCCACATCTTATTAACTAATTTTAAGTTCAAAACATCATTGAAGTCCAATTGTAGGACAATTTTATTTATGATTTCAAGTGGAAGTTGTTTAAAAATATCATATGGTTCAGATCTAAAAAAAAATCAAATATTATTACATTATTAATAAAATTGGAAGTTGTTTAATAATTGTATGATTGGATTATTAGACATATACACAGTATTATCAATAGTTAAATATTATCTATCCAACTATTACTATGAACTAAAAACATTAAATTAATTTATTAAATGTATTCTGAATTTGTTACTCAGAATAGTTTTTTATTTGTAGTTGGCACTTTATCAGATGGTAATACACTATTTTGATTACCTATAATGAGAGTTTTTTCAAAAGTGTTGATATTAATAGTACATTTTACTTAGGTATTAAATTATTAGAAGCAGTTTAAATTATGATACAATTATTATAAAAATTACACATTTATACAAATAAGTAAATACTTTTAATCTCAGTTGGAATTCCTCATTAATATCTATCTTTGTCTATAAATAAACTTTAATAAACATTTTAAAATGCTAAGTAATTTTAAAAATTCTTAGTTCATTTTCAGTCTGACATTAAAGTATAATACCTACACTAGAATTACTTATAGTAAAATGTATTTTATTTTTACAGGGATTTKTTTTAAAGAGATATTTAATACTGATAACATGTTAAATTTAATCAATTAAAATAATAATTTATATACAAAGTACCTATAGGTAGGTATTTATAATTTTTTGTTTTTATACGCCTACATACTACATAGTTTGATACTTATATGTTATCCCAAACACAGGGTGTCTCAATTCAGTTATCTTGATTACCACTGGTCACAATTCTGTTATTATTATGTTGGTTATTATTTAGTATTTACAATTGATTCAAATAATTATAGATCTTCAAAATTTGCTGAAAAATGTAGTTAAAAATAATTTGGAAACCTTTGGGATCTGAYAGAGCATCCATTAATAATGACAGAGATCTATTAATAAACCAAAAATATAATTTTGGACTATTTATTATTATTATTTGACTCTTTACTGTTATGATAATGTTTGATATTATAGTCTATGATAATTTTTGAATAGTAAATACTAGTTATTGATTTTTATTATAAATGGTAGTAGTGGCAATAGGCGGTAGCCAAAATAATGAATAAGTATCYATATTTGTATTGTTAAGCTTTTAAGATTTATGAAAAATAGGTAATAACATAAAATATGACAAATGATAACATACATTGTCGGTACAAACAATCATGTGATTATGGTAGAACAAAAAAAGATGAGATAATAATATCTCTTAACAAAACCGTGAATTGGGTTGCACCTATAAGAAGTACATGCAAGTGAGAGAATACCCAGAAATTGCTATAAAGTTATCTCACTTTACCCTTGGTAGCAGTCATTTAACACAAAACAAAGATGTCTAGTGAGATACTTCAATTTGTTTTTAAATATCAATGGAATYAGTTTTATGAAATKTATATGTAGTGTAAACYTATTTATAAATAATAATAATAATTTTTAAACTCTTTATACACTTTAATAATAAAATATTTAAGTAGTTAATAATATAGGTTATATAATATTATTATTGAGATTATAATGTAGTAGCTATATTACCTATTTAATATTTAATGAAAAATGATATACCTACTAAAATTGAAAAATGTWATAACAATTTCAAATATGCTCCAAAAACAAAAAAAATATCTAGAAAGTTGATTTTTTAAAAATAAAACTAGGTAGGTATCATTAAAACAACTGTTCTCCTTGGTTTTAAAACACAAGAAAAAAAAACGAGATTACATTAAAATAATCCCAGAACTTATCAATTATTGTCTTTTTTTAATGGCTTGTTTGATAATATTATTCAATACATAGTTTTTAATTATCAATAAAATTTTTATTTTACTTAAAAAAAATCAAACATCAATGCTGTCATATTATAGAACATCTTTTGTGGTTTTAAATTAGTAAGTATTTATACATTTTTAACATATTAATCGGTATATTTTGAATTCCAACAACTGGCTACAAAATTATTGATAATTGTTCAGTGTTGTAAGACAATATAAACCTTAATAAAACTTTTAGGTTGAATTCATCAGCTATTAAATATTCTAAGTACATTAATTTAATAATTGATGAAAATCTCAACTTGACTAAGTTTAATACAAACTATTGACTTATAGTAGTATAGACTTAATTTAAAAAATTTAAAACAACATATTTATCTGTTAAAACTAATTAATGGATCTCTTTTGTCCATGCAATATATGAATTATGTACCTATGTAGTAATTATTAATTATTAGTGAATGAAAAATTGACTTACTTCTTTAATTTACTGGGTAACATGTTTTCTGTTTTTACACCATTAATATTCATATTGCCTGATTCAGTACAATCAATATTCATATTATCTGATTTGGTATTTACACAATCAATATTCATGTTGTCTAATTTTGTTGGAATACCATCAATATTCATATAGTTTGGATTATGCTTTTAAATCATTGACATCTAGAATAAAATTAATATAGATCTGAAAAAAAATACAAAATAAAAGTTATTCATTKGTAGAGGTACATAAATATAGTTATTATTTGATTGGTAACCTATCAAATTAAATCTAATTTTTATGAATAATTTATAGTATAAAGATTCAAGAAAAACAATAAAAATATTGTATGGTTATAGAAAAGTTTTGATGATAAAATATATGGTAAAATTTTAAACGTTTGGCGACACGCAAGACTGAAGGAGGCTATGAAATATAAATTTGGATAGCAGACCCTAAACGCTTTTAAAAAAAAAAAAAAATGATAATAATCAATAAATAATAAAAACATCACGAGTAAATGTGTGACATTGATATATTATTATGGATTTTACGATCGAGAATGGAGGGCATTCTACAAAAACATCGCGTCCGACAAAAGTCAMCAGTTTTGAGACAAAGCGCCGAGGTTGTTTACACCGTCGCCAACTAACAAAAATCCTACGATTACTGTAACATCGATCGGAACCGCGTTTATAATATTACCTGAGGTGTTCACGGGAATAAATAGACACAACCCTGT